CGCAAAAAAAAAAAAAAAAAAAACCTAAAAGAAAGGAAGTGCTTATTCGTAGGGCTTTATTCAACACAATAATTTCAAGACTACCTTCCAAAGTCAATAAAACTTTTGGTTTTATTATATTTTATGATTGTACATTTAAGTGAGCTTTGTAATTCAATTAACATTTGAATCCTTACAAGGTAGAAGGCATTGTGGCTGAAACTCATATATTACCCTCAGAGCTTAAAATCTAGCTTAAACCCTCAGAGCTGAAACTCATACAGCAGAAACTCATATATTACCCTCAGAGCTTAAAATCTAGAATCAACGTAGTAAAAAGTATGGTAATACCTATGAAAAAAGCAGAATGTGGCAAATGTAAACTAAAAAGAATAAAGTTCTTAACAAACTTAATAAGAAAAAAAGTATGTTGGATTTAAGAATATAAACAAAAGCACTGTTGAGGAAAGCTACTAAAGCATATCCTGGAATCAGTAAATTGTTCTCTTTAGAAGAAAAATAATACAGTAGTGAGAAGTTGATATGGTAAGTTAAATTAGAACCAAAAGACAGAGGCCTTAAATGCCAGCAGAGAAATCTGAGCAGGGGAATAACGCGATAAGAAATGAGCTACGGGGAAAAACAAACAAAAAAAACAGCAATATGTAGAAAGAGTTGATTGAGTAAAACACAGAAATGGGAAGCTGAGAAAGCAAAGAAAACACAGAGGCTAGGAAGCTGCTGCCATCACCTTGATAGGTAATGAAAGGCCTGACAACAAGTGCTGGCAGTAGCTCTACAAAGGAGCATACAGATGCGACAGGCAACATCAACGCAGAATCAATAGGGTATCCAACTGACTAGAAAGCCAACTGTTTTAAGAGAGTGAAGAATTAAAAATGACGGCCATAAAAAGACCACAAGAAATTAGATTTCCTCAATGATCTAAGAACTTTTTAAATTATGCTTTGAATAAAGTACATGGGTAACAAGGGCAAAAACAAAAAGAATTTCTGGCAAAGCAGAAAATTCAATTAAGTAAAATAAACAACATTATTCAAGGATGTTCTAGTTATTACAAATATTCAAAATGAAAATTCCTATTTGATGTTTTAAATTATCTACTTTATATTTCACATATTGGTTTATTCAGTTTTTCCATTAAACGCATTATTTTCTTCTTTGGTAATTTTTTCAATTATAAAAAACTATAAACAATGGCAAAATTCCAAGGTATACAAAGCAAAAAATATAAATATGATCCTTTGCTTCTTTCCTAATAATTTATTATAAATATCCATCCAACTCATTATATACATATCACCTTCATTCCTTGTTAATGGTTGCATAAGAATTTTTAAAAATTAAAAAATCATATAAGCAAAGTTTCTAAAAAATATTGATAAAATATCAAATACTTAAACCTTTTTCTATTATAATTAAATAGCTTCAAGCTACACTTCAAAAAGGTAAGAAAGGCAACTTAGCGAACTGTGAAGCAGGATCTTTTTCTAAATGGAAGTTAAAAGCAAGGGAAAAACCATAAAATAATCTATTTCTTTTCTTCCTTTCCACTCAGTAAGAAATATAAAAACTAGAGAAAACTTTTGACACCTATTTTCTTTACATCTCAGAGATAGACACCTGTGTGAGACCCCATGGGACTGGCGTGAAGTCAAAGAAAGCTAAACGTGAGATGACTAATAATAAATCTTAGGGAAGAGAGAAGCTCAGATCACAATATAAACAAGAAATATAAGGAGATAATTAAACCCAGATAAGACAGGAAAAAGATCTAAAATACTCAGAGATGCTCAACTCTTAAGAGAAATACAAAGAGAACACAGAACTGTGGGTTAGAGAGTTCACAAAAGAGAGCTAATTTGAAGACTTGCTAAAAAGCATTCCAAGCAATGAAAGGATTAAAATAAAACCCAGACAACAGATAGACTGGACAGATTAGTAACATGATAACATATATTATATCATAAGAAGTAGAATGAAAGAATATTATAACAATTCACAAACATCTGGAACAGAGTAGTACTGAGATGTAGAAACAAAAGGAAAATT